ACTAATCAAACTATTTTAATAACTTACATCTATATTTCGAAGTAAAATAGAAGATGACTTTTTTGTAAATTCGTTTACTATCTTTGTTAAAAGGGAAATTGCAAGATTTATTACTATCGAGTCAATCATCGATGAGTTTCGTGACTTGAGATAACCTCGAGCACAATTCTAACAGTCTCAAAGTTTGAACGTTATGTATTTTTTGAACTACTTTTTTTCTTTTCTATTCTAGAAATGCAACTTTGTCTTTTTAATGAAGTATGTCGTTATCGAAAATTATTTAGTCCCCCCTACTTAAATTTTCTAGATCCGCCCCTGTCCACAAAGAATGTTGTGCAGAAACACTCTTGTCAGATAAGGTTGAGTGGGAAGGGGTTGAATAAGTAGTCTCTCTATGTGTTGTGTTGTTGTAATAAATGGAGTTGCTTTGCAGTGATAGCTAATTTTTCTGTTATTGCATTGTTTGTGAAAGTCATATGGTCCTCTAAAGCAGATGAGGAACAAATCTAAGCTTTGTATATTATTTGCATCCAACTATAAAATAAAACTTGTTTTCTATTAATATTTGAAGGAAAATATGACTTATGCAATATATTCCATTCTTCCTTTTTCTTTTTTCTCTCTCTTTACATTCTCTCTCACTCTCCCTCCTCCAATCTTCATCCAGTTTCCAGAATTCATCTACAATCATTTATATATAGATTACAATAAAGGATCTTAAATCATCATTAACCACAAAAAAATATATATACAAATATTCCTGTAAAAATTTTATGGATCCTAAAATGCAATGTGTACTTAAAATATTCCTGTAAAAATGTTACCCTAGCCTCTATGCATCCTGAAGGGAAAGTTGTCTTATGGTTTTAGAATTTCAATACCAAACAAATAGACCCTTTTTTTATTTTTTAAGGGGTGCAACACGAGGACTTCCCAGAGGGTCACCCATCTTAGTACTACTCTCGCCCAAGCAAACTTAACTTCGGAGTTCTGATGGGATCCGGAGCATTAGTGCTGACATGATCGCACCCACCAAACAAATAGACCTTGATATAAATTATTTTAAAGTTTGATATTAAGGGTTTGCTTGTTTACAAATTATTGGTATTTGATTGATTTTTTTAGTTAACTATAATTAATTTTGACAAAGTTAGTGTAGTTAGTTGTTAGTGAGATTTTAAGTTTGTATTAAAATCATATTTAAAATAAAATGATTAAATTGATTTGATGTAAAATAAGGAAACAAATGATTGATGAAATTAATAGATAATTGAAATTACGTGAGTGAGTGAATAGTAAATTTGTTGATGTGATATTAAGGGCTTGCTTGTTTACAAATTATTGGTATTTGATTGATTTTTTTAGTTAACTATAATTAATTTTGACAAAGTTAGTGTAGTTAGTTGTTAGTGAGATTTTAAGTTTGTATTAAAATCATATTTAAAATAAAATGATTAAAATTGATTTGATGTAAAATAAGGAAACAAATGATTGATGAAATTATAGATAAATGAAATTACGTGAGTGGGTGAATAGTAAATTTGTTGATGTGATATTAAGGGCTTGC